CAAGGCTCATCAATGCATGTGGGCACTGGGTAGTCAAGGTTGGCCTGCTTGGTCAAATCCCAGAGAAGAGCTACTATAGCACAAATAGTACAGAAAACTTCAATACTATAATGGCAAGATGTCACAACACACTGACCAGTAGGTTGCTCACTGGAATGGAATGGAATGACAACTACCACAAGCACCTACAATGAGCCCTCAAATCATTCCTGAATCATAGAGTAATGTAAAAAGGTGTTGGTCTGATGAATCATCTTTTCTTTTAAATCATGTACATTGCCAGGGTACATGCAACTGGTTGACCTGAGGAAGAGTTGCAGGGTGCACAATGCATGGGAAGGTAAGCCAACAGAGGAAGTGTGATGCTCTGCAGGAAAATGCTCTGCAGGAAAATGCTCTGCAGGAAAATGCTCTGCGTTGGGGAAAGCAAAATGGGAGAAAAATCCCTGTCCACCATGTGAGGGGTCTTGCTCAACCCCATCTCTAGCTTTCTATTTCTCACCATCACTGCTTTCATGCTAAAGCGTGACTCAGTTCTTTGCCAGCACTGAAGACCAGGATGTCTCAGAGGAATCAGGCAGCGGTGCTGTCTGGGGGAAAATATCTGTGGAAAAAGAGAAAGAAAGAGTGTGGTGGTGGTGGCTAGAGGAGGGGAGGGTGATGGTTTAATCCAATCCATAGGGTGGTGGTTACACACATGTGCACTAGGGAAAGAGGGGGGCTTTTTGGTTACAATAATCACATGACAATCGTGTTAAGAGGATCCTCAACACCACAGAGCCCCTAAGCCACACACACACAGTAGCACACACACACACAGTAGCACACACACACACACACACACACACACACTCATTTTGCCTGTCAGACTTTAATGCAACTATATTGCTTCTGAGAGAGAAACCGGAGAGCTGTTCTGCAGTTCCGAGCTCAGAGGAGCATTTTAGTCTGGCAGAGGAGCAAATATGCTTGATGGTGGAAGCAGACAACTCCATATGAGCAAACTTAAAGGCTTAATATAATCCATTTCAAATGCTGAAAGAAAAAAAAAAGAAATAAAGATTTGTTATTTAGCCTTTGCTAGTGAAACCAAAACCTCCATTGACTCAAAACATTCAGTTGTGATGACTTATTTTTTTTTCAAACAAGTATGTTTATTTTCTTCTGTAGTGATGGTACTAGTAATTTACACTTTCAGCTTTTTTGGTTGAAACGATTTATCCTCTTTACACTTTAAACACACAGCCGCAGCCTATTTGGATGCAAGATTCAGGCCTGGCACACAAGCAGATCAGATCAGGCAAGATTCTCCAAGTAAATGCCTCATGCATTTGGTCTCATTTTAATATCACATTTGAAGGAACCTATCATCTCCCCCACAGGCTGTGACTAAATTTTGAGTGTCATTACTCAAACTAACGTCCCCCCCTCACTTCCTGTACCTCCAAGCCTCTCCAACCATTTCTATTTTGACTAAAACACCCAAATCCATGCGGACTGCCGAATCAGCAATTCCTCTGTTACAGGGACAAATCACTCGATCCTGGATGGCAGGAGACAATACCTTCTGTAGCCCACTAATCGGACCCCCCTGGGAGTGTGTGTGTGTCAGTGTGTGTTTTTCAGCCATATATCTGCATACACAGCCCCGTGTTCAGAATCAGAAAAAAGCCTACGCAGCCAGTGAAGGATTGGGGTAAGGAGGAAGGAGAGGTGGAGGACAGAGTGGGGGAAAACAGAATGTGAGAATAGAAATCCTTTCATTTTTCTAGGTTAACCACCACTAAATCGAAAAGAGACAGTAGATTTCCTCTGACATGAAGAAGATCTGTGAGCGTATCAACACTACCATCCATTCACAGCACCATTTTCTTGTTCCTTTTGAAATTTCCCCAGTTCAAGGGCAAAGTGACAAAGCAGAAGAGAGTGAAACAGACGAGTGAGGGAGTCTGCGTCAGGTCCCAGCATGTGTGAAGCCAGTGTCTCTCACATGACGACTGGAGCGTGACAATACAAAGACACTTAGTGCCGCTCCCACAGGAAAGACTGCGAGTACCACATCTGGGACGAACTCACTGTTGCACTAAAGCGGTCACAACATTTTCACATAGCTGAGCAGAGATTCGGCCTATGGACAAATTCGTCACACCTCCTGCAGCCTCTGAACAAAGCACACCGTATCTCATATAGGTAATTCCCAGGAAAAGTGTCTGTTTATCTGGGATAAACTGAAGAAAGCTGTCTTCAAACATGAACTGTCCAAACACTTGGGTCCAGACGTTTTCACGACTTTGCCTTTCACATCTGATGCAGCAGGATATTATGCAGAACATTCAGGCAAGGGAAGCATTCAGGAGGCAGGACATGATGTGCACATTCTGTATAAATCACCTTTTCTCGATACAGGCGTCGGCCAAAAGGTCTTGAATTTCATTGTTTGTGCAATTTGACATCTTCGTCTTCTATGTGTATGGCGACAATTTTTTATGCTGAGATATTTGTATTAATTCAGATTTTTTCAGTTTTGTATCCATCACATGCTAGGCTGTCGCTCGCTGTAAATTTTCCGGACATTTCCCTGCTATATTGTCACATGGGCTCACTCAGACAGGAGTGGTTTGGGAAATGTACGGAGCAACTGACTCTGACATTTGTATTCTCACATTGAGCCCTTCTGGAAAAATTCTGGAAAATGTCCTGAAAGCAGCAGAGTGTTCAACATGACCACATATTACGTGTGTGGTTTAACAGATAGAAAAATGTGCCTGTTACACGAGACTTAAAACAACACATTTAGTTAAGATTGAGATAAGATTTGAATCTGACAGCTGTAATGTTCCCTTAATGACTGTGAAAACAGCTTTTTAGTTTTGCAAAGAAAGAGCCGAGTAGCCAAAGCAACAACTAGTTACATAAAGTGAAGGCTACCTGATAAAATAGTCAAAGCTGAAAGGCTTATAGTACATCTGTACATCTTGGTCTTTCAGTTTGCTATTTGTTATAGAAATGATCGCTAATAAAGTCAATCTGTTGATACAAACCCACACTAAAGCGAACAAGCTTTGCAGAGGTTGAGCTAACTCTGAAAAGTTTAAATGTTGGATATTTAACTGTGAATGAGTTTACATATATTATATAACTACTAACAGAAGAATAACAAGCAGACACATTACATGCATCTGAAACTGTTATTTGAGAGAAAAAGTTCTGCAGCCAGACAATGCATAAAATGAAAATATTATATCGGCCTGATCTCTGCACTTAAAGGCAGAAACTTACATCAAAGTACAACCCACAGTATTTGACTGGCATGTGTCAAAGTGCAAAAACAGCAGTGACACTGCCAAAAAATATTTACTACTTTAAAGCAAGTAGCTTTTTTATCCTACACAGTTAGATGTGTGTGCGGCTGGTTGCTCCCATGGGTAAACACAGTCTGCCATGACGCCTCTCTCTCTGTACTCTCTGTGGATGTGACTGAGATGAGACAGTGCATTAAAATAACCGTTAAGTTACATGTAAACACAGCGTAAAAAGTTTTCCCTTATCATTTATCTAGTCTTTCATCTGATGTGGGTCCCCTAGGAACCAGACCCCACTTCAAAAACTGCTGTTTAAAAGCAAACTTAGGCCTTAAATGAACTTAAAACATCAGAAAATACAAAATAAGCTGTGAAAACACATAAGGAAATGGATCACTCACACACACAAATCACACAGTGCCAGCTTTAACTTTTCCTTCCAAGACCACTGGCAACCATCTGCCCTTGAGCAACACAGCCTACAGCTCCAGGACAACAGGACCATGTACTAACCATGACCTCTGACTGCTGTGGGAAGCTGCAGCCCACAGTTCTGCACATGTGAAAGAGACTCAGGTATGAAATCGACGTTGACAGCCATTGAGCTGATGCTGGAGAATGGTATGTCATCCATGTGTAGGATCATTTGGCACATGCATGGTTGCCTCGCAGTCGCTCCGGGGGTGGAGTTGTTGGCTAATGCGATATGTCATGATCTCAGATCACCCATCTCCTGAGAAAATGAAACCCCTCGTGCATGTAAGAATATCCTGGTTGAATTATGCATCCAGATCTGATTATTGACACATATACTTAACACAACAGTGACTAAACAGAAATAATGTTTTGTATCGCATGCAGGTGGTGTGTGTGTACTTATTTTTTTTACCTATTACTTATAACTGTTCCAGTATAAACACTGACGTCATGGGTACCACAACCTGGTTCTAATTAAGTTTGTTTTTTTATTCTGAGGTCCTGGTTCAAGTTAGGGGTCAGAGGTGGATAAATTAAGGTTTGGATTAGGTGTAAATTGGTCTTTGTTAAGGTTAGGCTGTCCACAATGAATGGAAGTCAATGCAGTGACATAGCTGTGCAAACTTTTTTATGTGTGCTAGTGCATGTTGACCCATGGTCATGAGGGGCAATTTTGGTTAAATACCATCATTGTGAGGACATTTTGATGTTGTGGGGAAATTTTAGCTGGTCCTCAAAAATTCAATAGACTGAGGGTTAAGACCTGGTTTTAGGGTTAGGGTTAGAATTAGGTGTCAATGAGTGCGTGTGTGTGTGTGTGCGCGCGCGCGCGTGTGTGTAGCTCGGGTCTCGCTCAGAGTTGCGCGCTCCTGGACGCAGAATGAAAGATCATATCTCTGTAAAGTGCCATGGCTCATTCTGTATCAAGACGCAATAGCACCGGTATTCTGTTCAACTTGAAAAAAGTTGAGGTTCATTCCCCCAAAAATGAAAATATCCTAACTACAGTTACGTTTTTATCGCGCGTTTCTCTCTGGACTGGGGATGAAGTCAGATTGTTTGCCAGGATCTTTCTCTCAGAATCGCACAGGGAACTTGAGCAGGGGTGGAGAATCTGATTTGATAAGCAGGGTCTCTCAGGACTAAACGAAGAGAGAGTAGGCTGTACAGAAAGTAACCAGTATTATGGTACCTCACCATGCATGGCGCGCCGGGTCTTACCTTGCGCTGCGAGGAGCACCAGCAGGAGCACGCTTGTTACTTTCCCGGGGAAATTCATTGATTGATCGAAGCTTGACGACGCCTCCTGTGGATGAAAATGTGATTCCGGTGAAGGCGTTGTTGTCAATAACCTGCTGCGGGCGTCAGCGAGGCTTTGAGATTACAGCATTTTCCTTTGCGCTCCGGAGCGCGGTGGAGAGGTTGGACTCGTGGTGCGCTCTCCCGACACAACTTCTGCACGTCCCTCCTCCTCCACCCCTCCCTCCATCCATCCGTCCGTCCGTCCCCACGTCCCACACTCCCACCCACTCACCCACGGGCCAAACTTAGCGGCCTGACTCACAGTGACTCAAAGGTGATAAGTTTGGAATAATGAAATGGTTTTGGCTCTAGGCCCGAAGGTGCCCTGCAAACTCCACTGCAAATGTATTCTCATATTCAAGCAAGTATGCTTCCTTAAACAAACAGCCCATCTGGCTATCTACCAACCTATGCATCAATCTAGATATGCAAAATATATATATATATATATATATATAGTTTCTCTTTAAAAAGTAAAAAAAGAAAAATGAAAAGACTTATCCCCACATCTACTCAATATAGCTCTAGAGAAAAAATGCAGTTCACACATACACACATCACAAATTGTCAGTTCTGAGCTGTAAATGACCTATTTAGTCACTTAATTGATTTTGTCAGCATAACAATGCTCAGGCAGCTTAGAGCATTAGCTGCTCTATAATAGAGCCTTGAAGGCTGCACACTCTGCCCAATTCAAATAATGGAAAGCTATTAAAGCTTAGAAGAAGCACTGGAATCATTCTGGAGCATCATGCACACCCAGAACCATTTACTATATAAGATTAAAAACAAAAATGCTAATGTTGTGTTTCAACATCATACTGCAGAAAGAAGTAAACAGACTGGATTTAGCTTTTTATCATTTTTAGCTCCATCTCTTGGGACATTTTAGAAATATGCATCCAAAGTTTCTTCCTTTTGTTTGCCTAAATTCCATGAATTCATCTGTTGTAGTCAGACATGTTAAGTTTAGCTTTATGTCAGACTCATGGGTCGATTATAGATAATAAAATAAAATGAAAAACAAAACAAAATCAAAATAAAGAAATACAATCATCACACTTCACAGGGATGAACAACATATACTGAGTTTTCTTCCAGTGTTTACAAAAACAAGATGATTGTGTCATTTGCTGTTGTCTCAGTGTCAGATGTGCACACTATGTTATTTTACAAGCCAATTTGTAAGAGGATGGACCAAAATAGCGTTTGATTTGTCCCTGAATATTTCATGAATCTATGTGCGTGCATGTATGGAACATATGAACCTGCATGAATGAACGTGTGCACCAGCAGCATAAGATGTTTTTGTATCTGCCCTGCTGCAATATTTACTCTCTCCTAATCTACCCTCCTGGCACAGAAACCTGTAGACAGAGTTTCAGACTCTTGCATCCATACGCAAATATCTGTGTAGGAGTGCTGCTGACGTACATGCACACCAGGGAAAAGCAAGACAGATATTACTTTTTATTTAATTTACTGCATACAAAGAAACACCACTGCCTCCACTTAAATTTGGCATACACCACAATATATGAGAATGGGTCCAGTGTAAAACAAATAAGTTCTGCAACACTTATTGTAACAGTGCAAAGTGTTTTGCATGTGAGCAGCTGGTCAAAAGATAAGAGAAAGAAGGTGACTGGATCTGCTCAGGCTTCAATTTTAAGCTCAATTTGTTTTGATGCTACAGTGAAGTCAACCAAGGTTGTTGTTATTCAGACTCCGCTTTGACAAAGCAGCAGTGATTATAAGTGCCGCACATGGTCAGACAGGAGCCCCTGAAAGAACAACAGAGAAAGGAAGTGAGGTACAGGGTGAGCATGGAGAGAGGGATGTAGAAAGGATGTGATCGTTGAAATTATGTGGGTGGCTAATAGAGAAGAGAAAGTTTTGGCTCCCTGATGTGTCCCTGTGTGACAGAGCCAGTGAATCTATTTGCAGGAAATCATTTTTTTAATTCCACCCACCGGTTTTGGCGAGGGAGGTCTTTTCTTTTTCTCTTTTCTCCCTCCCTTCAGAGTGTCTTCTATCTGTTTTCCTGTTGCAGCGTTCAGAGTGAAGAAGGTGTGTGTTTGGGTGAAAATAATATTTAAAATCTTATTAAATATATGATTTTTGCTTTTGGGGAATGTTTAATTAAGAAATATATTTAAAATGTGCACAAATATTATAATATTAAATCTGTTTTGTGAAAAACTTCAGGAAGAAAAGGGGCTTTACTGAGATTTACTGAGAAAGGAAGGGAAACAGTGTCCCCTCATAATTTGTACACTCATAAGATAGAGTATGAGTGAACATTTCAGACATTATGGGTCAGGATTTAGAAGATAGTCAATGAATCATGCAAATTCTATTATTGGAAGAAAGTAATTATTTTGGAATACAGTAAAAAAGTACTGCTTTTTAAGTAAATAATACAAATCCTTCAAGTGCCTGTTTCATTCATTAAAAAATAAATGTGTAAATAATCCATTTGAGGGGTTTATATAGCCTATTATGCACATGAACACTACTTAGTTTAAATAAATCCAAAGCTTCTGTTTCATGGGGTTAAAGGTGGGAGTCTTTTGTATTTAATAAAGGAATAAAGAAAAATGTGATTTCAAAGAGTCTTCACCAATTGTGTAACAATCAATAGGAGGGTGTTGTGGCACCAGCTCCAGCCGAGGTGACAGAGGAACATACTCTCTTACAATCCTACTTTATATATTCCTCTGTCTCTTCCTCCTGTCCGATCCTACGGTCAGATGCACTCTTAAACAGCAGCAGGCATCTGGTCAGACAGCTCAGACAAAGCAGAAGGACCTCGCAGGCCCGATGAAGACAACAAAACAAACAGAAAAGGGCAAGTGTGGTTAGTGCAGCATTTGTCAGACGGGACTGTCCCGACTCATCCTCTTCAACCTTGTACCTCGCTTCTCTCTCGTATTATCTCTCCTTTGTCTTTCTTTCCACCATTTGCTGTCATTGTCATGTTTGTCTCTAACGGTTCATGAGTTTACTGTTACTTTTGTATCTATATTATGTCCTATTTTTTATTTAGTCCTTTTCTTTCCTCTTTTATCTCTCTCCTGCTGAAATATAACAGACTTGACTCGTCAATCAGTCATAAGTAATTGCTGCGCTGTATTAATCGCTATAGAACAGAGCTCCTGCTGACATCAAAACATCTGCTGTGGAAAAAAAGGGAGATTAAATGATAATGAATTAGAGGCTGCAGAAGAGTTTAAAAGTGCAGGACATAAGCAAAGAGAGAGCACAGGTGCGTTTAGACTTTCCAAATCTAATTTAGTTCCCGTCACTGTCGGTTCTTTGTCACAAATACTTGTCACTCACTCCGCTGAGCTGTCTGCCTGTAATCAACCTGTAGTCTGACGCTGCAGCGTATCTGATTCTCAATCTGTATTATTCAACAGGTCGTGTCTGTAGCAACTTTAGCGTCACCTTTCCCCTTTAACACACATCTGTCCCTCTTTACCCCATTTAGTAGATGTACAGCTCTGTAAATCAATATTAAGTAGACAGTGTATTAAAATACATATTTTCTGCAGTGTTTACTCAGTTTGTATGTTTTTTATTACTAGGCTGTACAAACGTCACTGTTTTGGTTCACTTGTCAACCTTGTTTCCACCTGCAGCAGTTTACAGTGATGAAGCTCTGTCTGTGCAGCCCACCCATCTCCAACAAATAACATCTGTATAAAGTTCATTTACAACAGCAGATGTGTTTTGATGGAAAAAGATCACGTTCTCCATTTACATGATGAGTAAAGTTTGGTTACCAGCATAGTGGTGACTAATGTATTTTATTCGTTTCCTGCCTCAGTATTTGATTTTGCAGTACAATATGTTTTTGTCGAGCTACAGTATTATTAAATGTTTTATGGTTGTGTTTATGGGTGGTGCTGTGGTTAGTAATGTCATTAGAAGAAGGTTCTATGTCTGAATTGGGTTTCTCCAGCTTTTCCCAGAGTCCAAAGACATGCAGAATGAGATTAGGTGTGGGGACTCTAAATTGACTGTAGGTGTGATTGTGAGTTTGAATAGTACTCTGGCAACTCTGCTTCTCACCCAATGTCAGCTGGGATTGTCTTTTGTTTAGGCACTCTGTAACTTAAAGTTGTATTATTTGGAATAATTGACTGGCACTTTATTACTGAAATGTTATCTCAAAGTTCAGAACTGAGAGAATGTAGGCTCCCGACCTCTGTATCCTTCCTTCCTTACCCTTTAACCCCATCTTAGCAGTTTAGCCTCCTTCCCATGAGTCCCTGTCTTCCTTCTGCTCCATCTAATCCCACCACTCCAATGTCAGCACCCTCCGCCATCCCCCTTTAAAAGCTCTCAGCATCCCCTCTCCTCCCATAGCCAGTCACGCTACACTCTCTGACCCTGCTCAACCCTGTAGCGTTCACATCCACAAAACCCCTCCACCCCTGCTCTCACTCTTCCCTCCTCTTCTTTTCTGCACACCCATGGCTCTCACTCTTCCCTCCTCTTCCTCTCTGCACACCCATTCCTCTCACTCTTCCCTCCTCTTCCTCTCTGCACACCCATTAGCACCACAGAGAATTTACTTCCTATTTTCCATCGGTCCACTGTGTGCAGTCTGCTCGATCACGCTGTGGCCTGCTGCAGCCACCAGCAACTAATTAAAGTCCACTCATTGTTTGAATTGGTTATCTGATTAAAGCAGTCAGCTGCTAATTAAACGGTCATCTCTCTCTGCGCTGTTTTTTTTCCCACGAAGACTACCTCCCTCTCTGTATGTTCTCCCTCTAACACTCACCCACACAAATCGAGGCATCATATATAACATATTGTGACAATGTGCAGCTTTGTGTTTTTATTCTCTCACTGTTTATCTTGTTGTATGAATTCAATGTGGACTCATGAAGCGGGCAGCCCGAGGAGCCACATAAAGCTCTCTCATGTTCGTCCTATATGACGAAATCTGAATGATTGTATTTGCATCTTGTTGCCGTCACAGTTCGTCATGTAGCTCAGTTGTTTTTCATCATTATTAGGAACATTTCATTAACAGTTGAACTTTCCTGGTTGGTAGAGAAAGTGTTAAACTGGTGTATTTCATATTATCTTTCTTATTTTGACTCTTATTGCAATATATGTTGTGCATCAGCATCATAGTGCTATTGTGTCATGGACACAATGTAGTTGTGTTTTGGTGACCTCGATATTTATTATAGATTTAACTTCAGTGATCACCAATTCAATCATATATTGTTATATATAGATATAGACAAGTGATTCCCAACATTTTGTGGTTTTATTAAAGCAATCATCTTGTGGCAGAAAATGACTCAGACAAGAAAAATTAGATAAGAAAAAAAGTCTGGCAAGAGGAGCATAACTTTGTGTAGCTATTTAAAATAGCAGAAACAAATGTGGTTTTTCTTCCTTATTCTATGAATCATGTTGTTGCTGTCGGGTGGGCTTCTGTAACAAATCAAAATTAACTTTTATAATTCATAACATTCTAATGTGCAAAAATCAAATATGTTCTAATGTTACATTTTTTACTTAAACACTCTCTATCCAAATATGCAAATTAATCCAAAGCCAACTTCAAATATTGGTCCATATTTATTTAATCCTTCAATAAATTAATCATTAAATTTGAATGATTAGTTATCGTAATTAACCAATGACAGAACTCAGATCTCCTATTTTCTTGCTGAACCCTGCAGTGTCTCTTTTGACCACTAGTCAGCAGTAGCAGGTGCCCTGATCAGTCAGCACACTAGAGGAGATATTTATTATTCCAGCAGGGACATTACACCGAGCTGCCCCCTAAGCCCAGTTTAAAACACTGTAAAGTGGCCGTACCACAGCTTCGTGTCTGTCCCCTCAGCTCAGAGCGGAGGATCAATGGCCCCTCTGACTCTACTGCACAGCACACATGCTGTGACGCAGTAATGTAGTTCATAAATATCAACCTCAGAGCTGCAATGGCAGGTATTAATCCTCAAGACATAAATCCTTATGTCCTGTGGAAGATAATGGGGGTGATGGAGGGAAGCGGCAGACTACAGGAAACAAATGAAACTGCTGACACTCACCATACTGCATCCAACTACAGCAGGTTCATAGAATAGAGTAAAATGGAACAGAAGGGATGCTGGGCAGTGCAGATATTTAAATGACATTTGACCCACTGGCTATGTCGTAATTTCTGAATAGCCCATAACACTGGCTACTAAACATGTAGTTTAACTTCTCAGATATTTCCTCAGAAATTGAATTCTTTCAAAGACATCTGTCTTTTTTCAAAAACAAGATCCAAATAAAAACAAACGATTTTGACTTTAATGGTCTACAGTTAAAAAGGCAACCTCATAAAATTTGATTGTTTTTTCCACACAATCCTATCGAAAGTTAAATGCGTTTTTCCATTGCATATGCTCGCCTGCCTGTGACTGTCTGTGCATGTACAAACACACATATGTCTACCCGTATCTGAGGTTTGTTTTGCAGAGAAGAATAAATGCTTATTGATCTGCGACTACAGCATGAAGCGGTCTGTAATGTCGGCTCTGGCCTAATAGATTGCAGAAATCTTTGTCTCTTGTTTATGACCGATCATCATTCCTGGCTCCATCAATCATACCCCTCTCTCTGTCTGTCCCGCCCTGCTTGTTACTCCCATCCCTCTCCCTCCACCCATCCACTTTCACGCTTCATGATCAGACATAGAGACCACAACACCGTCTCTCTCTGCCTGACTTTTCTCATTCTAACCTTCAGCTTTCTTGACTCTTTGAGAACAGGCCTGGTCGTACACTCCTCCTCTGGCACTCGCTTCGTGGAGGTGGTGCCTGTGAACCAGTTTAGAGACAATGTCATTGTATTAAGTGTCATTAGGTTGGCAGCTGAGTGTACAGGGAGCAAAGTGTAAGCAATGATTAATTTCATACACTCTTCAAACCAACAGTCATACTATATATTACAGTTCATATCTTCCTATTACTTCATTGACTTTTGTTGATGTTCATTCAATGCGTCAGTAAAGATTAAAATTAAAATCTTGAGAATTAAAGCTTCTTACCTCTTCGCACAAACTTTAATAACAGTTATAGTAACTCTCCTTGTTTTGTGAAGTCATGTGACTGCAGCAGAAATGTACAGTGGTCGAAATGTCTCACACAAGCACATTAACGGAAAACAGCCAAAGCCACAACACAATGGGAACACAATCATCGAAGGGAGCGACACTGGATGTTGACAATGAAACGTGTGGCTGTTGTGTTGTAGCTCATTTTCCTGTTTTCCGTTAAAGCTCTTTTGTGAGACATCTCAGCCACCATAGAAACTTCTGAGGACTGACGGACAGAGACATCAGTCTCTGACCCTCACGTTGACAACATTGAAGCTTCTCATAGGTAGATGACAGCCATAGCAGATACAGGGGCTGTAACACAGGGAACTGCACATGCAACAAAAAAGTTTATATTTGAAAGAAAATTCTAAATGAATTTAATGAGTTGATGTGCTTCCAAAGGCACGATTAAAAAATAATCATCTGGCCCAATCATGAATGACACTAATGCAACAGAAAAATAATAGAAACATTTTATGATGTTTTAGAAATTAGACATTTATAATCAATATCCAACTCTCCGGACCTCCAAGAGACCAACAACAACATCCCATCACCCCTCTTACCCTCAAGCAGTCTCTCTCTTAATGGAAATTGATGCAGATGTCAAGTATCTAATATACGAGTCAAACCAGGGGCGGGTGGGGGCACAGAGCGGTAATTGCTGAACCCGACTCCAATTCAGTGGCTGTCACTATATTATAGCATTAAGTCAATGTTTGAGTGTGTGTGTGTGTAAAATTATGTTTACTGGAAAACTGAGACAGGGAAGAGTCTTTTCTGAAGGCATCAGCAGTTTCTGAGTTCAAACCAAATCATGGACTTTTAAATATTCATTCTGACACTAATGGAAACAGAAATTACAATTTATTTGGAAAATTGGGATTATAAAATACCATTATAAAATATTCTAATGTAGCTTTTGTTGGTAACTTTGTTTCCAAATCTCAGTTTTTCTCTCATTAGCAACTTTAATTATGACCATTACGGGTACTGCTACAATATGCTGCAACTTCTAAAACACTAATACTGTGAGATTAATCAGGTCTGCTTGTTGCTTTCATTTCCCTTTATTGATCTAGTTAGCAAGACATCACATACCATCACAGTTCCTCCTTGTAATACTTTGTATTTTTTGTCAAGACCACAGACTGAATATAAAGATGGATGACGTGTCTCCACCAGAAATAAAGTCAAATATTCCCAGATAGGAATGCTGGATAGGAATGCAGCCATCTGGCACCAATGACATCATATGGAGCCAGAGTCTGCACAGTAGTGATAAGAGGAGGGAGCTGCGGTAGAGTTCCCACCGATACACTTGCTCGACCAATCGTGAGTCAGGCTCAGCTGTCAATCATGATGTTTGACCCCATTATAAACCAGATTTACTGGAAGCATTAAACATTTGAACAAACATCACCAGAACTGCCTAAAATTACAATCCATCTTTGAGAAAAAGTTTGGTCCATGTTCTCCTCACTAACATGGAGGATGTGGGGGGTGTGACCTATACAGCAGCTAAACCGCGGCATTTAGACACTTTGACTTCACTTTTGGGGAGTCATGCTGTCCATCTTTAGATACTGTCGAGACAGACAAAAATTCAACAAGTCACGCAACATTATTGGCCACTTTGAGGAAACTAAATTATATTTAGTTGAATTTACTGGAAAAAAGAACGCAGCTGGATTAGTACACTTTTTCCTTCGCTTAAATTGGAAGCAGTGACAGCAAGTGCGTTATGATGGTGACCAGAACGGAGCCCTTAAGGTAACATGGGCTTAAAAAACAGATTAAAATTTCCAGAAAGTATTGCGTATACACACATTTTAGAAAAATATGATTTAGCATAATTCTGAGGATTTTTATTAGTAGTAATTAGTAACTCCACCGGTGTAGATTGAGGGTGAAACTTTAATCTTTTTTTTCACCCATGTCCCCTTTGTCGCTTCGTAGACCAGTTATAGTACAAATAATTATAGAGCACGGTTTCAAGTAATGTTTCTGATAACAGGCTGCGATAATAACAAGTACAGTTTGATGAAGACAGAGCAAGTGAAGAGTCAGACTTGTTGGTTAATTTGCTCACGGTCAGTGTATAAAATACTGTACAATATTATTGCTGCTGGTTTCCTTGGTGATGGATACTGTCAAGCTTGGCTTTGATGACTCGAGCATATAATGTACCTTTAACTAAAAAGGCATCTTGATCAACAACAGCCTTATGGCCATTGGTTTTAGTTTTGTATTGTTTAGCACTACACTGTAATAACCCCCCTTCATTTTACACAACACTTTGACATGGATATGATCAGTTTGTCTCACCAGGCTCACAGTGAGGTGTAAACAGTCCAACAGTTTGTTGTATTGTGTCCTAATTTTCAAGGCAAATATAAGAAATTCATACAGCATGTGTGCTTTAGGCAAAAGGATATAAGACTTGATCTTCTACGTACAGTACATAGGAGGGACTCTTGATGTGCCTCGATGTGAGACGCTTATCTGCAGAGGCTCTCTGAGGCTTTGTCCGTCTTTGGGCGTTTTCTCTCCGAGTTTAAATACAGAAATTATAATAAGTAAACAGTGTCGTATGCATGCTGGCCACACAGTGACCTGTAGGGCCATTAGACTTAGATACAGAGAGATGGTTCAGGACAAAAGTGCAAAACAAGCCTGTTCTAAACAGAAAAAGTCCTGAGTTGCAGTTGGGCAGATAAAGCTCTGATAAGTGACGGGTGACCCACTGGAAAATGCTGATATATATTTATCCCCCAAGCAACAGTGTCATGGCTGAAAGGTGGTTTTATTTCACGTTTTAAATTAAAAGATAATTATGGTTTATTTTAACTTTAGATTGTGATTATGAACCAGGAAGTCAATCTGTAAACTGTGATGTTGATGATACCATTTGTGTCATGAATTCTCTCCCTCCCTCTTGAAATATCTGCTGTGCATAAAGATAAAATCCATAAAACTAAATAGCAATTATAAACAATATAATGCTCATAAATCTTGTCTACTGTATAATGGCCAAAACTATGAAATGTGTTGGTTAAAAAACAGAATAATCCTTTAAGTAATCTGAAATAGATCCTATAGTTCCTCTGTGAATGACAGATGAGTCACGATGATGCAGGATGAAGAGGGCAGGGGATGGAGTTTTGGAGGAGAGCAGGTGGTGGTTGAGGGCTAAAGTGCATCATAATCATTTCCCAGTGAGAGTGGCATGTGAGGCGGACGTGTGAGTTTGTGTTAAATTGTTATTAGAGTTCTGTTTCAAGGGCGTAGGGTAGGGGGGGACTCAAAGTTAATGTCTGGGTCATGTTGGGATCAAAAAGTTTCAGTTATGGTCCATGTCATCAACAATGGGGGTGTTGTAGCTCTGGAACAGAGGCTGCATGAAGAGGCCGAGCGTCCCGACCACGCACACACACACAAAGATCCACAGGAAGAGACGATCAATCACCATGGCTACATACTTCCAGTCTTCAATGATCTGCAGAGACAAAGGAAGTTACACAATACATACTTCAGTTGTTGATAATACCAACACAATATTGCAAGGATTTAATGAGTTGATGACAAAAATAAAGTTTTGTAAGTTATAGAACGCATACGATAAAAATTACATGAAGGAATCAATTTTGGTACAGAAGAGTCATAGTCCTATGATACTTCATATTGTGTTTTACAAAATGCAATATTTATTCTCATACAATAATTTCCTAATTACTTAAAATAAATAAATAAATAACATTTTACAGAAACACCTAACAGGCAGTGGGTGGAGCTTTGAGCTAATCAGGATACAAACCTGTTCACAATGACCAACAGGCTGATGTATGTTTGAAATCAAATTCCTTACCCCTTCGTCATCATCCTCGCTCTTCATCTTCTCAGCGATGTATCTCACTCCGTCCACTGCATCCTCCACATCAATGTTAGACTTGAGAGTCATCCTCTTTCTGAACTCTGTGTTTTCTGACAAGTCGCTGACCTTCCAGCCGTAGCGTTTGGCGGAATCCTCATTGACAAAGAAGGACGAGGAGGAATCTGCCATTCCCACAGTGCTTCCCATCCCACCGTCTGCTCCACGCAGCTTCTGGTCAGAGTAAGATCGCTGCTGGTGTTTTTTCCGGAACTTCTCGCGAATGTTGGAGCTACCGGGTCTCCGCATGAAGAGGTAAGAGGGGAGCCGGTATAAGAAGACACGCTTGACCCAGAGAGGCATGGTGTGTGTACTGGGGGACCGATGGTGTACGTTGAGCACGCAAACGCTGGTAACGATGGAGAAGGTGACCAGCACCATCGTAAACATTAGGTACTTCCCGATCAGAGGCACTGCTAAAGACGTAGGTGGTACAATCTTTGAGATCAGGAGTAAAAACACAGTGAGGGCCAGAAGGACAGAGATACAGAGAGTCATCTTCTCACCACAGTCTGACGGGAGGTAGAACACCAGAATGGCCAGGGATGTTATCAGGATGCAGGGTATGATCAGGTTGATGGTGTAGAACAGAGGTTTCCTCTTGATGATAAAGTCATAGGTGATGTCCAGGTACCTGATATCATCAGGATCTTCATTCTTGCGTCCAGGCAATGAAACAATATCCCACTCGCCACTGGGTTTGAAGTCGTCACGTGAGGCAAAGTCACTGAGGAGGATGAGGTCGATCTCCGTGTGGTCGTAGGTCCAAGAGCGAAACTTAAGGGTGCAGTTCTGCTGGTCGAAGGGGAAGTCACGGACTTCAATTTTACAAGCAGACTTGTAGATGGCTGGTGGAAGCCAGGCTACCTCACCGTTGTTGGAAACCACAGCATTAGAGTAGAAGGAGACTTCATAGGTCCCATCGGCACTGATGGAAGGAAAAAGTGGGAAACAAGTGAAAAAGAAAAGGACAACGGTAAAGTCAAAGCACTCAAAGCGGACTGCTGGAAGGATAATGACAAATTCTATCTATTTTTCAGTCCTTCAAGGCACACAGCATATTACAGAGACATGAGAAGGATGTCTCATGCTCCTCCTGTTGAATTTCATATATATGTTTAAGCTTATGTCGTACATCAGAGACAAAAAAAGCAAATGGTCCACGTTGCCATAGTGACATTTAAGGTGCAACTCATGCATTGAGTAACAAACAAGAGAACACCTTCATTTTTATTTTAAGCTGAAATAAACAGTCAATGCAGGTCTTAGTATTTCCAACCTAACACAGAGTTTGTGATGTCACAAAACTAAGAAACCAATCCTGTCAACTTGTGGGCAGGGCTCAGTAGTTTGAAAAGGCTCCTCAATGCAGGTGAGATGTGAGGGTGGGGAGACGGGGCAGAGAAGTGGGTCATAATAGCATATTCAAGGTGTAGTCTTACATTTAAGAACATTTTAAAGCCATGAGGGGACATTTTTCATAACAAACATTTGAATATGTAAGAGTTTTAAGGAGTGGGACAAGATGTTTGGCTGACAGGTTATCTCAATTTGATGACGTCTAACATTTGATTGTGTGGTTAATTATATATACTTAAACCTGCCACCATGGAAACCATGGTTACGTGATCTTTGAACCCAGCCAAAATGTAACCATGCATAAGTACGCATGTGCACTAAACCTGACATCATGTGGTTAAATGTTGCATTGGCCACTGAAGTGCAATGCTATAATCGTGCTGGAGCTTCCTCCTAATAATAAAAAGCACAGTGGAGTGTTTTGGCATCTGATAAGACTTTAAACTCGTGCTTCTATTACAGACTTCCTGGATCTTATTTCATGATTTTGCAAGCACAGGATGCAAAACATGCCCTCAGGCCTTATAGTGCAGCTTTAGGTTGAACGTGAACTAATAGTGAGAAGTGTAAGATCATAATTACAACACACACTGAATTGAGTGTTACACGTCAGTCATGCAGCTGATGAGCAAGTGATGCTGAAGCATGAACATTGGACTCTGTCCCTCAGCAATATCATGAGGCAAACAGCTGAGCTGACTTGAGTAAATGAATTTACTGCACTAACTGATGGCACGTTGGGAAAACGATCTCTTGTCTGACACCATGCGTCTGCAGCTGACGTGGCACATGCAACAGCTCTGTGAAAAGTTATAGGATGCGTTTTATCATCTCAGGAGAAGAACTCACCCCAGGACACAAGCCAGCAACATGGCAACAACTGCCCACCCCCCTCACCACCTCAAATCTGCTGAGCCTGACTTTTTGTTCTTCGTCTCACCAAGGCTGCAGGTGATGCATTATAGATAAGTGGCCTATCAATTATAAAGTAGGTCAGGAATCCAACCATCACACTTAGTCTCTAATGCTTTGGGGCTGCTGTGAATATGCAGACTAATCAAAAATGCAGAGGCCCCCACCTGCTCACTGTGGGTCTGCACCCCCTGACTTGGAGACCTGAACCTGAAGTGGGGAAGTAGTGCTAATCATATCCCATCATTTGGCCTCTCAAGGATTTTTGCTCCTTACATGGTCTTTAGCTGACCAGAAATCTGTGCTCGTTAAAGTTTAATGTTGACAAGGCCGGGATAAACGGTGAGGTAACACTGATGATGACCAGAACACAACAGCTCCACACAGCTGTGAGCCTGTTACACCATCAGGTGTGCATCATACACTTAATCTTTGACAGAGGAATTTAGAAAACATTCTCACACACAGATCTATTTGGTTGCTGGTCTTGAGCTTATTAATGATATCGCACAGTCTTCATCAGCAAGTACAGATTGACAGATGAGGTGGGGTACAGACACAAAGTCTGTCAGTAAACGCTCCAGTGGAAAAATGGAGTGCAGCTAAATTCTCCTTGAATAACTTATTACAGCTTGGAGATTCTCCTGTATTGATTTTTCCTTGCAGCCATCACAGCTGCATGAGGATGTTTAGATGTGCACACAAAGTAAAAATAGTCTTACTCCAGTGTTCAGATCATTTATGCTCAATATGCAAAAACTCCAGTCTCTCCACAACTTTCTATCTGCAAAATCTGCCATCTCTTATCCCTTGAAAGATCAGCAATTATCTGTCTCATGATAATTGCTGGACTGTGTTAACATGATTTTAAAGCTTGTGTTAATTTTTCTGTAAGAGGTGACAAGGGGCGAAGGCAGGAGAGGTAAGAGGATATAGGGAATAAGAGGATATTAGGAAATTGGGCTTTTTGTGACTATTACAGGTCTGTTTTTTGAATCACTTATCATTTTACAGACACAATGAGTGTGTCTGTGTGTCATGAGGCAGACGTACTTGTTGTAGAGGACAATGTCTGGCAGCCATATGTGTTGTGACGGGAGGCGGATTTTCTTGATGCCCTCGTATTCTTCGGGGTCCCACATTAATCTGTAGTCATTCCATACCTGAGAGCCAAGTGCACAGTCAAAGCAGCAATATGAATATATTCAAAAGCTACACAACACAAGCACACACAAATACAGACGCATGCATATAAATGACATGCAAACAAATTCAAGGACAGTCAGTTTCTGACTGGAAAAAAAAATTGAAATTTACTCAGTAGAGTAAAAACCTCCAATAAGGCCCAACAGTTTGTATAAATTCAATCAAGTTCCAGGAAATTTTACAAATTCATATATATCAGTTACCATAATGTGTCTGTTTTTTATCATCAGCATCCATAAATTATTTCCTTGGATCAGGATTTGCACCAAAATTTAATTAAACAAATCCACCAACAAACAAACAGGGTCGGAAACATCTCTTTAGTGGAGGTCAAAGCAGCACACAGACATTTCTTGTGCAAATGTGTTTGGTGTGTTGTGCCACTACGAGGAAGAGCTTTATCGTGGCCTGACCTCACAAAAACACACAAAAAATAAAGGAGAAACAGTTAAGACACAAACCTGAGTGAGCCAACAGTTTGTGGTCATGATCTGCTCCCTCTCATTCTGAAACACACACAGACAAAGATGGTTTATTGATGTCCAAACAGTAAATCTGCAGGATTTATTCCTCCGATAATTTCCATCATCAGTGCTCTTGGAATATGCCGAATCAGTGGATTAAAATGATAAATGGTCTGTATTTATTTAGCAGTTTTCTAGTCTTGATGACCACTCGAAGCACTTTACAGTAAGGGGTTATTGCCATTCACCCATTCACACACACATACATACAGTGCATCGATGGGCAGCAGTTTTTCAGCAGGTCGGTGTTCAGTATGTTGCTCAAGGAAACTTCGGCATGGGGAAGACTCCCTCTGTGATATCAACCAATGTGTTGTCAGACTTGTGCGTGCGTTGCATATGTGCGTGTTTCCTCACCACATTGATCAGCTGGGCTAGAGACACCTGGATATAAATGGTGACCTGCTGACTGTTGTTGACCGCTGGTCTGATCAGCTTGTTGTAGCGTTCCGGTGACAACAGGTGACTCACCAGCCGCTCCTCCACCTCTGCACACGAGGCAGCTGAAAACACAAACACAAAAGACATAACCTTTTAAAACCAGCTATGCACATTGGATCACAACCTGTAATATGTATATTGCATGTAACATGCAACCAAGTGAGATAATGAAGGAAAACTATTTATTCCATTTAAGCTAAAATACCATCTGGCTATTATCTAGCCTCATCCACATGAACACTTGGCCAAAAATACCAAACTGCAGCCATAACAACTGCATCAACAAAAAATATTGAAAGCAATACAGTATTCTAATTTCATTGTCGCTGTGCATCTGATTACGTGGTGACTGGACACACGTCTCTGCATGAGTATAAATCTCCGATTAGGCCAGTAACCTTGTGTTGAACTTTCCAGCTCCACAGTTCTGGATCATAATGTTTTAATCTACATATGTTTTGCTCTGTTGAGTCAGAGTGAACAGGTTAAAGTGGCTCTGATGTCAAATAAATCGTGGGTCTAATAATGAGTTTCTTGCGGATGGATGAAGCCTGAAGGGTCAGTGAACAGTTGAACAGAGGTGAAAAGCAGCTGGTTCATTCAGAACTTTAGACTTGATCTTTAAAACTTAGTGTTGTAACCTGGTTCACTGAGTATGAGAATGAATCACAACTCTTGAAGAACTAAAGTGAGGAAACACTTGACAATAACATGTGAACTTCTGACTTTTAAAACTGCATTCTTACTCAGCTCCCTGGTCATTGCTGACCGCTCGTTTATCAACGGGATCAGGATGAGAGAAGCCCCCAACAAGCACGAACACACTGACGCCTGGAGCAGTAGTTGGTGAAGCGATGGTTAAATCTCGTGCTGTAGGGTCTCAATAACTAGGTGCTGCAGCAATGTACCCAGCTGCATATCCTCAGATGTAATGAGTGTGTGTGTGAGGGAGAAAGAGAGTGGGCAATCCAACGCTCACACACAATACAAGGATTCTCTGTAGCTAAACGACTTACCACTCAGGCATTTCACTGCATATGTTGAATTTTAATAATACATGCAATCGAACGTTCATATTACAAATAATGAGTCACATTTGCCCACACACACAAACACAGGGGCTGATAACCCAAAGCCATGAGAGCAACAAAGAACATCTGACCGGGTCACATAGATTTAGTGACAGTGGTTTGGACTCTGCCAGAGTTGTAGACATTTAGAGTACGTCTTATTTTTAATGAATATAAAACAGTTTTTTCAATTAAAACTTTAAAACTGTGTGTCACATAACTTTTGTTTAAATTTTATCCTGGAACCTCACGTTTACCCGTCTAGATCCACGTGTGGAAACAACAACCAAAATTATATTCAGTATTCAATATTCAGGGGAACACTGAGTCAGCAAGTGATTCATTCAGGTGCAGGAGGACTTTGTGCCGGTGTCTTAGAGAAGGAAGGTCACGATTTTGTGGTGTTTGTGAAGTGATGGCTGTTTTAAGGTGAGTCATCCATGGCCTTATCAGACCACAGCAAGAACAGGGACAACCGTGGTCTGACTTTAGAACCTAGAACCAACTGAAAATGATGAAACATTAACTACAAGATCTCTGCCAGTAGACAACTAAACTTCATTTAGAACAAGGACGTCATTCCATTACATCATATCACTGCACAGTTTATTAGATCTGGCAGTGGTTTCATTTCAGCCACAACATACAGTGATTCAGTCAACCACTCGTATTGAAATAGCTGTGCAAACACTTCTGATCTGACATCAGCAATGTACTTTTGTGCCGACATCTCAAAACTGTGCACTTAGCAGCTTTACTATGAATATTGTTTATTTTGGCACTTTACTTACACTGAGTTTCAGCTACGCGCCCGGCTGTCATATCAATATCTATACAAGATTTTTTAAAAAAGGTTTCCCGACACGTGTCAAGATGAAACTGAGGAGAGGAGACACTGAGCTCTAACTGCAGGAGGAAAAGGTGTATTCTACACATGGTCACTCTACATTAACCTCTCCTGGACCTCCATCTGAGGAGGACGAGACATGTCCAGCGTCTGAGCAACTGTGACATGACACTGAGCCTCAAGGGTAAACGTCTTCAGAGGGCTTTGAAACACAGCACTCTGTCAGTCCTGTCTGTCAGGATTAGACAGAGAAGAGACAGGACAACACACACAACAGCAACAGCAGGATGGGAGACAAAACAATCTTCAGATTAGTGTATTATAATCTGGTAAAATGAAATAGGATCATGTCGCATTATGGTGATGATTAATGGAAAATAGCAGTGATTCTTGAGTTTGAGTGTGAGGGGCTCACAGCTCAGCACTAACTGATTGTGTGCAGTAAGAGTGTAAACTGCTTCGTATTGGAACACAGATTTGTCATATCAATTAAAAGCGAATTAGCTTTTGAGCTATTTAGCGGCCCGGGAGTTGAGACAACACTTTCTATTAATCCTTTTGGTCTCGCTCATTGTTCATCGTCTTTGTGCTCTCATGAATTTTATTAAAAGGTTCGATAAGAGCAGGAGATAATAAACCACAAAGCAGTGATGAACAGATGAGCAGCCATAAATGTCACAGTACGTGAGGAACTTACTGTAATAAGTATCTTTGCTGCTAAAATAAAACAAAAAGCCTCAATAAATGTTCATTGCATCGGACTAGTTAACTGATTTTACACAAATGTATAATAGAGCCTCTGTTTTAAACAGCTTTAAAAACTTGCATGTGATAGATGTTTATTACTTCTTCTGATGAGGATATATTTTCCATGAAATTTTTTTTGGGGATCCCGATCAGAGGCCAGCTCCATGATTTTTTCATTTTTTTTACATTGCGAGAGGGAGTTTTTAAACATTTTCCCCAGGGAACTGATATCTATGAGTGTGTTAAATTTGCTGCAGCTTGATTGAATTTATGGCTGTTGGCACTTGGCGGATGTACTGTATATATATAGTATATGCTCTACTGGGTGCCATTATATTATATAAAAATTGAGTTCACCAGATCCCATTTTCAAACCACTTGTATAGTCAGCACTTCAATCAGAGTAACAAACTTAATCTGAAGCTTAATAATTCATTACTTGACACTCACTACAATTGTGTCAAGTGTTTGTTCTCAGATCATACATAAATGTTTATAGTCTCATTTTGCAGTTTTAATATTTATCCAGATAAATATTCAGTCCCATCGACAGGTGACCAGCACATCTTTTTGAGTCTTTTGGATGAAACTGCAGCAGTGATAGAAACAGTCAGGTTGGAGGTTTGAACTCATCTTGCTGTGAAGCAATGAACCACTATAATGCATTAGTTTTAACATCTATTGCACAATAGGACAAACCACTGAGTTAAAAGAGTATGTGGCAATAATATGGTTGAAAACATTAAATAAATTAACGTTTTTGTCTGTTTTTTTTATTAATCTACTCCAGTTGTGACCTTTCATAAATTCTTAATAAATCAATTATGGCATGGATGCACTGTAGTCCCTTTCAAAAAGTGTTCATTCTAATAAAATGACTAGAGACCTACTGTAGCTAAAAAGAAAGAGAAAGTGTGATGCTGGAGAAGGTTTTCCCACCACTCTAGCAACCTAAATATCACAAATCAACATTGGTATTGCATTTCCTTTCAGGAGAGAACCTTCTTTATCCAGTGGGAAATTAAAATGAGATCAGCTGAAGACATAAACAAAAAAAACTTAAAAATCTCTTGCTGATCCCCCCACACACACACAATTCAAGGGTACTGTGTAAATAAAGTAGATTTAGTTTAAATTTCACATATTTAAAAGGGTATTATATTTATTCTGTCCGTAGTGTAGTGGCTCCTGACTTCTACTCACTTCCTGTGATTTCTGCCTTTGAGAAATAATAGATGTCATGCCACCATAAAATTGTAAAGGGAGTGGCATAAAAATAAACCCAGCACAAAAAATTAATAGACTGTGAAGGACAAATGATGTCATGGGACCACTGGAAAGGACAGTGGATGGTGAAGAAGCACAATAGAGGGCATACAAAGTGATGTCAAGGTTTTGGGTTTGACGGTGAATGGTGAAATGCTAGATGAGGTGAAAATGAGATGCGTATGAGGCTGATGTAAGAAGAATTAGAGTCTACCAGCAGGTCTCATCACACATGTATGCACGCACGCGCACACACACACACACACACACACTCCTGTCTGCACTCTCCACACCTCAATAATTCATTGCTGCTAAAATAAAAATGCCATCATCTCACAAGCACAGAGACTCAAACACAATTAAATATTATTCTCCAAGTCGTCCTCAGTCAGAGAGAATCCACATAAAGTCTCCATTACAATATATGGAAACTGTGCAAACAAGTAAAAGAACCTGTCAGACACGCTGCTGTAGATGAGTCATGGCACATGGTTTGACATCAGAGCAGAGTACAAAGAAAAGAAAAAAAAAAAAACGCATCCAAATTCCTGCATCCTGTAGGTTCTTTTTTTTTTTGGAGGTGAATTATTTAGTGTGTTACCATCTGCTGTGGCCTTCCAGAGACCGAAACAGTTCAATTCAGCTTTCTTTGGATTTACTCAGGACCTGAATCAGTCATTTTTATTAGACACCCATGTGCCATTCACTTGTGAGTGACAACAAAGCACTTCACATCACTCACTGCCTGTGTGTGGTTTTTTTTTGGAGAGTCTCGTTGGATTTTCTCTTGGTTGGTTGCCCTCAAACTGTTCATCACAGACAGTTCTCCTGTCCATGAGGATAAAATAGACAATTCTTTTCTTTCTTTTTTTTAATCATCTGTTTTGTGTCTTTCTGCCCTCCTTTGCTTTTGCCTTCTCAAACGTCCCTTTTTGAGCTCCCACAGTTTCCCCATCATATGTTACTGCTGCTTAATTTTGTACTAGTCTCTTCTAATTTTCCTCTAAATACATCTGTCTCCACATTGGTCTCTCTCTCTCTCTATGTCTGCCTCTCTCAGCAACAGCCAAACAAGTGAGCCAACGCGGTGACTAATAATTAACTCTGAGGTGTTGACTCGCTGACACAGAGTTGTCTTGACCAAACACGTCTACAGTTATGAGACAGCAGTTTTTAAACTTGAGTTAAACAACCTCACAATGACCCCGGGACAAGATTTAGAGCTGCATACTTCTGCCCACCCACGTACAGGATAACGTTTCACCCAAGGGTTGCAGAAAAGCCAAGTCAGGGTCATGTGAGGGTTTCGTGCAACATGCTAAACGCAGATAGCGTGTAACCGCCCCCTCTCACTCTCCTAGGCATTGTGTAAACATTTAATGAGCAAAACATCTCATCAGGGATAGCTGTTGCACACATTAGCACGTTTACGCCAGCATGCAGCTGATACTGAGAGAGACAGGGAGGGCAGGAGACAGAGGAGTTCTTGATGAGGAACTGATTACGGCAGAGAAGTTACAGAATACGAGGAGGGGGTCATGAACAATACATGTAAACAAAGTTGCTGCCTGGATTTAATCTTTTTACAGTTACAGACAGGGTAAGATTTGATTGGCCTGATGAGGTGATTATCATGCAATGACTTACTGTAGTCAGAGCACACGACAATGAAAGAGTTTTAGATCTGTAACAAAGAGCAGTAAAGAGGTCGAGGGAAGAGAAGACGGAGAGGGGATTAACCAGAAGATTACTTCCTTAACTTAAATATTGCACAAACTGCACAAGGCTCATAACCGATAACCTGATCTGGAGAGAATGTGCTCTTTAGATGAAACCTGGCAAGAAATTACTCAGACAAAAAGTAACAAAGCAAAAAGTAAACATATGATTATATATAATACAACTACATAGTTCTGAGGATGGATATATAAAATGGAGGGGTTAAATTTCAAAAGGCAAACAAGCAAATATATGTTGATATGGGAAACAAGTGAAAACTGACCTTTGACCGCAAAGTGAAAACGTAATTTCCCACAAATGAATTTCACATGTGTACTGATTTAGTTATGTATAAACACTGTAAACTCATTTGATGTGGGGGTGTATTTTCTCCAGGATAATTGTTTTCACATCATAATGAATGACAAAGAAGAAAAATACTCCCAAAATGAGACCAACCCGTCTTTGAACTTCCTAAATCACTTGGTATTGAAGTTTTTATTATAAATATCCTTCCCCCGTATTAATTCATATTTCTATCTGTACACAACGTTTAATATTTATTGAAAAGAGATAATCTCCAACTCAAGTCACTGTGAATGAAACACAATCTGAACACACTGAATTGATTTGAGGAAGCAGACACAGTGGGTTCTGGGGCTGTTGAAGCAGATAATGTGTGTGGACCATGGACTGTATAAAACAAAGTGAGGACACTTTCAGCACCACGGACAGCTCTTCATTAGCTGACATCATGTGGAAGGAGTCCACTGTGGGGCCGCATTCCATTTAGATCCATCATCATCGTCGTCAGAGGGCCTTGAAGCACACTGCAGGCCATTAGGGCACAGTGAGGGCCACATGATATAAGATTTCACCAGGAGCATTTAAACCTACGTGTGTGTTTAATGAGCCATGGGGAGACCACAGTGCCAAATGGTTACACGCAGTTATTGGATTTATTGTCAAAATATAAGTGAAGACTGTGGGAAATGTGTGCAATGGCAATCTCGAATATCACAGTGTGTTTGTTGCGTAAAGAGGAACAACTCAGTTAATTGCTACGTGCCGAATCACGTGTTTGATTCCACTTCCAGTTCACACGAGCCTGCTTTCCCACTTTCCACTCTTATTTATAATGTACAAATGAGGCTCAAACATTCCCCCAAAATATAAAGGTTTAAAACACAGAGATACTTATATTTCAGCTCACAGGAGCAGTGTTTAAACTACCAAGCACATGCGAGATTGAAGGAATTCTCTAACACTGACTGAAATAGACTTATCAGTAATATCACATGTCACGGACGGAGCCCAGAGAGAGATTTTTGATAGTGGACAGCCCGAGAATGTCCGCGTAAAGCCCCACAAAGTCAAACCTCCCTGTCCCGTTCCTGGAGGATTTGAGAGAATTACTCACCTGCCACGCTGAGAACCAGGAGAGCCAACGCTGCTTTCACCGGGTTTGCCATCGCTTCCCTCCCTCCTCCAGTGCGGCGCACACACGCAAACTTGCAGCCGGGGCTTGGTTTGTCTTCTTCTCCCGCCTCGGTGTGAAGTAAATATCAAAAAGAAAAGGGGTGAAAAAGAGAAGCACAGGTTGGATTACTGCGGTTTCATTGCAGGGAATCCCGCAGATGTCGAGCGGTCACTGAGGCACGGAGAGAGGAGCACTGACTGAGGAGGCTGGATGCAACGACCCCTCCGCTGCTCCTGGAGCTGTGCGCGCACCACCAACCCTCCACAGAGAACAGATTCCTTCTGAGCGATATACAAAACGATCTTCTCCGGGAATATGGGTCAGGAGCCAGTGAAGCCAGTGGGGATACACGCCAGTTCTGTTATCACCGGAGCGACCATTCTTACAGATAAAAGATTTAAGCGTCCCGGTCCTCACATCACCGCCCTGCCCGCCCTGTGCGCTCCCTCGTCGGGCGTCACTTTCACTCTGTGCAGTCTTGATGGACACAGTTTGACATGTGAGACAACAAACAGGAAGCGGCAAGAGTCAGAGATCCCCCCCCCCAGGAAAACATTGACTGTCCTGAGGGTTACTCCATCCTCTCCAATCAAACGTCCATTTAATGTCCCTGACTTCATCAAAAGACACTTTTATGAAGCTCAGGAGGGAGCTGCTGCTGGGAGTGGTTGGACTGAAGCCAAGAACTACAAAAAGAAAGTTAATCTGTTAATTTGGAGAAAAAAGATAAAATGCTTCAAAGATTGAAATTACGTGAAGCAGATTTCTTTTTATACAGATTTATTGATTTTAACTTCCGTATGAAATGTGCTTTTTAAATGACACTGCCTTGCCTTTCTTATGATAGCAACTCAGCAGAGGCTTCAGTTGTTACCTGCATTGAGCACTTTGTGGTTGTGCTCCCTGAAGCCAGTTTGGTTAAGGGTACAGTGTGAGATGACGTGAGGGGTCATGACATTGGTTCAGGAAGCATGAAAACCTTTAAGTCTTAGCAGCTCACAATTTGAAATAAAATAAAATCCTCTAAATGTGTCCATTACCATTGGAAGGGGGGGGGGAGTCAAAGGTCAGGGTAGAGTTGGAGAGGAAACATCTTGCAAAAGGTTTTTGAATATGGGCTCGATCATTAAATCAATTATATTCGCAAGTTATATTCGGTATTCGCCAAAACACAAAGACAGAGATGTCAGCAAAAGCCCAATAACTGTAACTGTAGGGTGATCAACAGCAGGAGCCTGTGAGTAAACAGTGTGTGTGTGTGTGTGTGTGTGTGTGTGTGTGTGTGTGTGTCACTGCCCCAGAGGTCCCTTTGGATGATGTGATGACAGCAGGCAGACATGGATTTAAATGTGCTCCACAAAGTGACTGCAATTAATTATTTCACAGCACAGAGAAGAGGAAGAGAGGAAGTAAACAAAAAATAAATAAAAGTACCAATAAGAGCGAAGAATTAAAGATGGGGTTGAATTAAAGTGTTTTCATAAATGCTGAGATAGTTATTACATAGTTCTTGCTGTTTTTAATTATTTTTTATAATTTTGTAAACAACCATATTTGGTTCTTACTTTAATTCATTTGTTCTACTACTTATGATGTTCTGATCTGTCCATGTGCTGCTAGTATGGCAAGCAACTTCCAATCCAGCAAGAAAATAAATGAAGTGTCCCAAAATGTCAGTCTGTTCCTTGAGTAGGGAGAAGCAACCATCTCAACAAACCAGAATTATGTGACTCCCTCAAACATGTGCAGTCAAGAGAAGCTGCTGGAACAAAGAGTCCATCCCTCACCTGAACTTTGCCCAAACACACACTCCATTAAATCAACCCAAAGTCACAGCTCCAAATGCAACCAAATTGTATTACCCTCCCATCTCTCCCCATTACAGCCACACTCGAGCAACATGCGAGCACCCACCTCCCAAACTCCCTGACCATCTCTCCCCTAATGAACATTATCTCCGCTTCCTAAAAGCAGTGGAGAGGAGCAGAGGGAGGCCAAATTTAATCAGAGCTACTTAGAGCTCACTGTGGGGTCTGCTGGGGCTCGAAGGAGACATCCCGCGAACACACACACACAATTTAAAAGATAAACACTGTTTCATTAAAACACTCGTGATGACACAATATCTGAGCTACTTTACCCCAAAGCAGCTCATAATTCTATTAAAAGTCCATACAGGTATTTTAACCCACCACATACAATTTGCGTACATGAGTGACAACCATTTTGTAAAGGTAAGCAAAAGATATTAGATTGATGTTCTGCCTTCCGGGCAGCTATTTCCTTTCACTCAGAGGCAGAAAATGGCTAATACATTAAAGTGAAAGGAAAAATGGCACATTATCATTACATAGTCAGTGTCAGTGTCAGGTAGGGGCTGCTTTGAAAAAGTGATTGTGGGAAACATGGACACTTGAGAGTTGACCTTTTTCATCAGGGAAATTGACAACGTGTCAAAACAAGGTGTAAATAATAAAAGAAACTATGGTTGGATTCCATGAAGCAGCTTCAGTTTCAGGGTCATGTATTGTCCATGCTGCCTCGCTGCCATTGTTCATGTTAATTTCTGCAATGACGAGTCCCAAACAGTTGATGTGAAAAGGGCCTGTTGCTTTTAAGAGCTATGTTGCTGGAAAATTAAGCAACAATTGTGTAACTTTGAGAAAATGTGAAGTTGTGCTACCTCAGAGTTTACCATTCCTCCCCCATCTTCAAGACAGATTTGTCCGTCACACTCAGGTTCTGGGCTTCAAGACAACATAAATCTTCATCACCAGATTTAAGGATGTAAACAGGGCTTATGTCAATCCTAACAAACAGGAACCCTTTTAGGAGGGGTGGCTATAAAAGACAAAGTGAAATATTTACAGTAGACGTCTCATATCAGCCATTAAAGAGAATTAAAAGTGAATGAATCTATTGAATGTAGTGTAACATCATCAATGCCATCTTGCAACCATTTTTGATTGTCTGATATGAATTCTACAATTTGCAAACAAGAAAATCTTCATATTTCTCAGATACCAGCACAAAGTGGCAAAAACAGTTCTATCTAAGGTGAAATATCAACATTAAAAAATCCTCAAGGAGATTAAATATATCCTCCATCTGAAGATAATCCTTTAAATCCTGACGCATTAAAACTGAGTCGTCACTTCAGAGGATTTGTGTCCTTTTCCACATTTGTTCCTGGCAAGACAGAAGTATAAAAATGCTTTTACTCTAGAAGTCAAAGTGCTCAAGTGTTTATTTTATTATAAATGTTTGCATAATCATTCATTTGTTCACTTCCTGCAGCCATGATGTCTGATGTCTACCAGAGCCAAGCCACTCTGTCATCATAATCCAATTAACCATGTGTTGTGCACACCTCCATGTGTGTACGTCGTCTATCTTCAAGGTGAGAACACACAAACACACACTCCACACTCCGTCTCCTCCTCCTCCATGCACACTGCTTGGGGTCTCAGCACACACTGTATCTGCATACCAACAGCTCTACTGTATATCATTTGAGTGGATTAAGTTTGTTTAGTTTCCTCCTCTCCACAGGGCCTCCTCACCAGCCGCCCCGTCTTCTAACTGCGTGTTTGTTTGCCTGCAGGCGGCACAGTCAGAGACAGGGTGCCCCGGTGAAGTTGCCAATTCCCCTGCTGCTTTAATCTTTATCATAAATTCAATTTATAAATTCAAATTTCACTCGGGGACATTTGTGTCTTGGACCGACAATACGAGATGGGACTTTCCAGGTTTTTGACTGGTCGCCTGTCACAGCTGCTCACCGTCCTACTCCGGTGGAAGAGAATCGGTATGATGGGACCTCCAGGACACGCAGGGATGAATGCATCCCATCATCTATCTCTACCTCCATCTTATCTTCATGTTGCTTCTCTGTGTTTCCCATCATCATTGATTTCCTTTCAGTCCATACTGTGCTCTAACGTCTTTCTGCTTCTTTCCTTTATTCTATTCATGTGCTTTCTCCCTCAGTGTTCCTTTTTGGACTTTCTTCTTAAGCCGTTCACACACCCTGTCGCTCTCCTCTCATCTCTCCTAAAACAGGCATGTACACCCCTGCCGAGCTCCCAGTGGGTGGGAGAAAATGTAGGAACCTTATCATGGCTGAACTCAAATGTTGTGACGGGGCCTGCAGCAACAGAGCATGTCTTCAAACTGCTTCTGAGTGTCCCTGCTGCTCGGTCACTGCTGCTGCTGCTCTAATGTTTAAAGAGGAGGTGGGTTTCTATCAGAGCCTCAGGATTGCCCTTAAATCTTATTCAAAGTCTCAGTGAGCAAATCCAATGAGAGAGTGCATGTTTTTCTCAGTTTCAGGATTTCATAAACCGCAAGCACATCATCCTTTGAATACAAAGGGACAGAGGAGTTGTATGGGAAAACATTAGAGGCAGCCTAAACTTCAATGATGTGGAAAATTCAACCACAGAAATGCAAGTGTGTAGGTTTATCAAAATTTAAAAGGTCCATACAGGGCCCAGGGTGTGCAGGACGGTGTGTACATGCATGGCTGCTCTGTCTCTAAAAGCGTTGGCTCTCCTCTCGTCCACAAAGCCTCTCATGTCATCTTTACTGCAGGCTGAGAAGATTCAGCACTGCACGTAAGACATAAGCAACAACAATCTGACAGGCATGGAGCCCACAAACACATGCGCCGCAGAAGAAATATGACAGCGCAGAACACAATCCAGCATGTTCCTGCAACACATGGTGCTCCCTGCCAGGAAGATAAGGAGGTGGAGACTTAAAGGGGAAAACAGTTGGTGCATGATGCTTAAAGCTGAAGTGATTGAAACGATCAATTTAAATCCATGAACATGAGCACAGCTGCAATTACAGACATAAGAGTTTAAAAGAGTGGTTTTGTAAATGTAATCCTGTTAGAAAAGTCAAACTTGTCCTTGTTGGTTTTTCAAAAAAAGAGGCACCCCACACAAAAACACACAATTACTAAAAAAGCATTTTGTTGCAAGTTCCCTACAATAATAAATGACTAACTGTTAAAAATGATTGAAGGGGGGGAAAAAAAAACATATGTGCTTTGCAGACTCAGCTTTGAAGAGCCCATTTAAAAAGAGCTGTAGAACGAGATTATCAGAGGAAAATGGAAAATAAAATGTAAACCTATGACTAATCTCAAATTTAAAGCTATTACGTGTTCAAGTGTGTATATCATCACAATCACTAATCAGAAAGATCTTTATATTCATTATAAAATTAAATTGTGGGAGGCTCCTGTCTCCTGTTGAAGATCAATATATTATAAAAATAACCAATTTCAATAAAAACTAATATCAGCTTTCTCTCTTTCTGTTATCTCTAATATATTGTGGCAGAGGTGGGTGCCATCAGTGCTCAGTTGGTTTGAGATGCAGGTGTGTCTTTACATTTCATTTTTCCAGGTGCACTCACATGAACATGAACACTCGTAAATTATAAAGTGGTCTGTACTGCGTCTCTTCTCCTGGAATGACTCTTGTCCCCCTCAGCATTAAATCTGTTGGATTCAATA